AATACTGTCTTTATGTTGTCCTATTGCTGTAATATATTGCACTTAAGTGTCAATAATTGCATTTGCAAGGTAAACTTTTTCTGCAATGACATGCTACATGGCAATGCACACTTGGTTTTACATCGTAAAAACCCATGTCTAGTTATACTTCTAAGTTTTGGAAGGATCTTCATAATTGGTTGTTGGCCAATAATTTAAATATTCCAACTTTAACGTACAATATTAAACTTGGCTTTAATACTGTGGACACAAAATTGGATGTTATAGTTAATAACTTGATCATTATAGCTAAATATTATTTGCATAAATGTAAATTTTTGAAAATTACCCCTAACCTTCTATGTTATCTAAAAGAAATATCACTTTTTATCTTTGAAAATGAATCAAAGGATGCTCTCCTCTATATGTCCAATTTGTTTTTTGAAAAATAATCAAATATTAATGACTAAGACCCCTTACAGTATTTCCTACTGTTTAACTTAATATGCTTTATACATATTTCCTGTTGTAATGCTATAATGCAATTGTTTTAAACAGCTTTCATGTTGGATTTTATTTATGTTCCTTATTTTAATTTTCAGTGGCTGCTTGTAAACCAAGGCTCTTGAATAAGATGTATGTATGCTTGTAAGATTTGTAGTTTCGAAATTAAAAAAAGAGAGCCGTTCATCATATAAAACAAATCATGATAAGAGATGTATTTGAGAATTTATTTGAAGAAAAGATGTTAGAATAAACACAGTCATTGACTGACTGAACATGCTGTTATTCATCTGTACAACCAGAGGAGTTCTTGTCTGGACCTTTACTCCTCAGCCTCCCTCCATGGCCGCGGCGTGAGCCTGTTGACTGGAGAAAGATTCCAGGTGATGCCACCTTGAGTTATTACCTGCACAAAAAACAGAACAACATGCAAGAATGTCAACATTTATTTATTACGACTAACTCTCTCATAGTAAAGGAATGCTGTTAATATCAAATTCAGACATTTTTCACAATTTAAGGTTTTCAGAACTTAAATATATCTAAAATTTGAGCAAAAATAAAATATACATTTCAGAATGAGATGTTTTGTTTTTCACACTACAAAATGCTCCTGATGAGGGACCTGAGGGGGAAAAAAAGCTTTAGCTGCCCTCTGGTGGTTGTAACTCACAGCTGAGCTTTTGCACAACAGTAATGTTCATGTATGCAACACAAGGASAATAAGGAGAATAAACTACATGTTCTGATCCACAGAGGACTCTGTGCTCTGTGACTGATGCAGCTCTTTGGCCCTCAAATCCATTTCTCTTTGACACTAATTGTTATTTCTGTCCCCTGTGTAAGCCACAGTGACCTTTCCCTTTAAGAACTGCACACAAACTGTGTTGTGTTCATTCACTTGACAGTCAGACCTGAGTTGAGCAGCAGCTCCAACCACGTTAAAAAAGGTGTTTAATTCCTCCGAAGACAACTTTTTTTAATCAGTCGTGGAGTATAAGGAGGCAYTGCTGAAGCCGAACAAAAAACAAACAGAACTAGACATGGGTTTTTACGATGTAAAAACAAGTGTGCATTTCCATGTAGCATGTTTTTGCCTGCAGCAGTGGACTTTCAGAATGAACTGTGACCAAGTTCAAATATGTTTTCTGTACCAGCTTGTGCCTGTCACATCAGCAGGTGTTTAGAATTAAGGTAATTGTGTGACAATATGAAGTTTGTAGTGATTTTTTGTTAAAGTTACTGTAGCTGGGTTTTGAACCCAGATCTCCCACATGAAAGCCCATAGAGTTAACCATGAGACCACTGTGGCAGAGGGCAATGCCAGGGGTTGGGTTGTATGTGTGCAGAAAGAGGCCACATTGGCAATGCAGTTGTTGATTAAGAACTGCATAATATTACAACAGAGTAATATTAGGACAAGATTTTAGAAAAACATCAAAATACTATATATTAGTATTGTAAATCACTGAACTACTGAGTTTAAATATTATTAAACTATGGTTCAGTACTGAGTAGATACAGCAGGGGGCAGTATTGGACCAATACAAGGCTCCATTGACTGGCATTGTATGATTTTAAACATTAATATTTCAAAAACTATAAGTTGTACAGGCACCAAAAGGCATAGCCATCATTTGGCACAGGTACTTTACAGATATAAATTACAATGCAGCTCTAGGACAAAGTATGCAGGAGGAGAAGCATGGCAAAGTTGAGATGACTTGGATGGGAAACGAATGCTGGAAATGACGCCGTAAAGCYTCGTCACGTCTCATCGTTTCCCCACTGCAGTACAGCTCTCAACAAAAGCAAATTGAGCCGTAGAACCTGAAACACTCCAGCTGCCTTTAAAACACAACAAAAAAAAAACTCCCTGGAAGTGGAGTTTTTTRTATCAAGTGTTTATTTTTTATATGACAAGTCTTTTTGTTTATGGGTGTAAATTTGTTTTGTGGAAGCGTTTTTCTCTTTGGATGTACATATTAAAGTTTAATCTTAACCAACCTTTGCTTGTGGAGCCAAGCCTTATTTTGTTTATGAAGTCAGCCTTCCACCTGTGCTTGTAAARACAGCCATGCTTCTACCTGCTACGACCTAATTACATTTTCAGATTCTTGTCTTTAAAAGCTACATTTTGACACCTGGATCATTCTGATA